TCCCCTCCAACACCTCCTCAACCGCCCACCCAAAGCACCCCCCCTTCTCCTCATTAACAGCCTCGAACATCAAAAACACACTCCCAATCTCAAATATCGTCGCGCCCACAAATGCACTAATACCCCCCCGCATTCGCAATCTCGCCCCCAAACTCCGAGGACGGGATTTGCAGAGGCAGGTACACGAAGAAGGCATTGATACACCATACCACCGAGCCGAGCGTGAAGATCACGGTGACGAGATAGGAAATGTCCCAGTACGGGTAGGAGGTGAACATTCGGGATATGCCAAGGAGGGTTTGGGAGGGGGTTGTTGTGCGGGGTGGTGTGAGGTAGGTTGTGGTTTGTGGGGTGAGTGCTAGGGCGTGGCGACCTGGAAAGGAAGTTTGTTTAGAAAGAAGAATAAGCGATGTGTTGGGATTAAGAGGGAGAAACCTTTTCGATTGTCTCTTGTCCTGAACTCGCGATACATTCCCTCTGAGCGAACTTGGTCTTGTCGTACATCCTGCCCTTTCTGCGCAGTGTTTTTTGCACTGCTTTGATCCACGTTACCACTGGAAGATATCTGGTGGGAAATTGTAAAACTCAATGGGACTCTCCTGATTGTAGGATTCAGAAAGCCAAAGGGGCCGTAGGATAATTCTTCCTCTTGGAGATGATGGTGGTGGAGATGCGGGGCATTGCTACTCATGATGTTTTCTTGGAGGAAAACTCGCAAGTTCTGAGCAAGCTGTACACTTCGTATGTCAGTAACCAACGGGATTCTGATTGTACACAATGAAAATTGTCCATTAGTGAAACAAACATGTTGTTGTTGTTGTTGCGAAGAAAATAATAAGCTGGGTGACGTAGTGGAAAAATAAATCCGGGGTAAATGTACATTCGCTTGGCACTCATCCAGATGGGGGGGAAGGGATTAAGGATAGTGCCTTCCGAAATGCTTATTCACGACTTCACAAAACTCGATTTCTAGAGGAATAAGAGCTCATGCTTATGTGATTATTCACCTCTCTCCACTTTCTCCATGTCGATACATCAGACGTCGATTCCTCTCAACCTCGATTCAAGTTGTGACTGATCCCAGTAAAGACAGAAGGAAACGAGTCAATTTCAAGAACCTGGTACGCCCTATAATAGACATGACCCCTCCTACCATAGAGTCTAACCCCCCATCTTTGGTGCCTGCAGACTTTGGATCCTTCCATATTAATCGTTCCATAGACTCTTTCAGGGTTTCTCCAAGCCATGACTTCCACAAACTTCAACCAATTCACCGAGCTTCCCAAAGCCTTGCTCTTCGATGTCTTCGGAACAACAGGTAAGAAAGCACCTTGCCCGATTCGATGACCAGGACCGTCTCGTGTTTTGTGTATATAGACCTTTGAGTATAGATTGAAACCTTATATTGCCAGACATTCTACCCGTCCCATCTAATCTCCATCGGTCCGTTGTGCAAATTAAAGAATGGCAAGAACTAACAACCCGCACAGTAAATTGGAGGAAGACAGTAGTAACAACCCTTATCCAAAATGCCTCCATCCAAAAGGTAGCACCCTCTGTCCCATCAACAGGCAAGAGCGGACTCCCACAAGCAACCCACGATCGTCTCCACAAGATGAGCGACTCAGACTGGGGAACTTTCGCCCAGGAATGGCGGAACAGCTACAAGAAATTCACCCGCGAGTTTGTGCCCGGAGAAAGTAAATGGCAAGACGTAGACACACACCACCATCACTCTCTCATCTCACTCCTCAAGAAACGGGAGTTGGAAGGGGTGTACACAGACCAAGAAGTCCAGACTCTGAGTCAAGTCTGGCACTATCTTGAGCCATGGGCCGACACTTCAGCCGGTCTGGAGAAACTGGGAAGCAAAATGGTGACATCGAGCCTATCAAATGGAAATCCATCGTTGCTTCAGGATCTGAATAAGCATGGAAAACTGGGTTTTAAGAAATTGCAAAGTTCGGCGGATTTCGAAGCCTGCAAGCCGCATCCAAAGGTCTACCTTGGAGCCGTGAAAGCCTTGGGATTGCAGCCGAGAGAGGTGGCTATGGTAGCCGCCCATCTCAACGACTTGAAAGCCGCGCGAGATTGCGGATTGCGAACAATCTATGTTGAGAGGAGAGAGGAGGAAGATTGGAAGACGGAGAGTGAGGAGTACAGAGATGCAATGACCTGGGTAGACATGTGGGTGTCGGAGCAGGAAGATGGATTCGTGGAGGTTGCTAAGAGGCTCGGTGTTGATTGATTGTTGTAGAGTAGATTAGATTGCATGTCTGCATACAAGAGCTTGAGTCGGTCCTATGAGTTCATCCCAACATTCTTCTGGGTTGAATGAGATATATGGTTTCGACACTCTAACTTGTGGAACTCGAAAAAACACTTTTTCTTCTTTTCTTTGCATGCAAATGCAGATGCATGTGATGTGACGTGGACGCCATAGGCGCCAGCTGAACCTTTTCCTTTCCATTCATAGTCATTTTTTGCTTTTTGCAGTTCGCGGTTACGTGCATTTAATATCTGTCTGTGGTTTTCTTCGCGCAACACAACATCTGATTCAAGTGCAGTAGCGCGGGGAGCATGGAAGGCGGGGTGAACGTGGCAAGGTAAGGCAAGCGAGAGATTTGCCAAGATGAGGTTGGGTGTCAGTGATAGGAAGGAAGAGTTTCCTTGGAGGAAAGGCGAGATGAGGAAAGGTGCACAGTGGAGGAGATGGCTTGATGGCGCAAGCCATGAAACAGTTCGGGACGCTGGTGAAGGTCCCGGTATTACACAACGGCTGGCTGTTCCGAGCTCAAGTGTTGATAGGGAGTTGTAGATGTGATCAAGACCAAGACGTAGCGTTGCTATTGGATGATGGGGTTGCAGTAAACTGCAGTAAGATGCTTAAACTTGATCCGAATACAGAGAAGTGTCATCCGATGGATATGTAAGATTCGTGCCGGTTATGTAGGTACGGTGTGTACCACACCACAATTGTGTGATACAAAAGCCACGATCTTGTTCCTGTCAAACCCTTCCACTTGGAAACGGAAGGAAACAGAAAAACTCAGTTCGTGTAGCTTCGTTATTACCGGTACCGTACTAGGTTGATATGGATATTTGAGCAGCAGGAACTAAAAAAAAACCTGTATGTATCCCAACAAGCGGGAAATACTCTTTTAAGGTTAAATGCGCACATACTCGAGTACGGTAGACAAGACTTTCCCTTCCGGGGAAACTCTCGGACAGAGGGGACATACTATCCAAAAGGTTCGATACTTCTTCAAAGTACTTACCGGTACCCGATACCAACGATCAAGAAGGTTAAAACTTCCGGTGGATGTGATTGCCGGATCTTCCTTGCAGCACCCATCTCGAAGATCATATGAAAGCGTTTTTATTCATGAGGAATCAGGATGATGACGATGACGATTTGGGAATCTGTAAACTGTATGGCCGAGTAAAAGTGAGACATCCTCGAGGTGGCCGTCATGGAAGTGTAAATTTACATGAGATACTCCGGGTAAAGTTTTTGCTCATCGGTACATGACGCATGTACTTCGTAGAAGTGAAATATAAATTGCAGGTGAGGAATTCTTCCAGTCTGGTCTTGGCTCGAAGATTTGTAATACTTCGTAAAAGAATATGCAATGCCGACAAGAACTCACACGCAGATCACCATTCTTATGCAGCTCCAGCAAGTGTTCGTCACGTACAGCACGTAAATTGCTGTACAGAAGTCCGTACCTCTAATTGTGGTTGAAGAGCGGTCGTCGACGAATGAGGTTCTGTGCCCCGAAGAACGAGCAAAATCCGAAATGCAAGCCAGGGGTTGAAGATAGCCGAAGCAAAATACTTCGTAAACCACCAAGAAGTTCCGGGATAAGTTGGCCTAGCCCATCGGCACTGCTGGGATCGATAATCTCAAGCTGCAAGCTGTATCTTTCTCTTGAAATGCCACCTTCTCAGATGGTGGTGTGGTGTGGTATGAAATGCTCCTCTTTCTTGTAACGATCCATTGGCTTTTTCCGGTGATGGGAGCTTGTGATTGGTCGGTTAATCCGTAATCGAGAGATGGTTCGTGGATTTAACGCAACTCGAATTTGTGGAGAAAAAAGTGACTTTGAGCTGCAGCCTGCGGCCCATCCATTTTACGAAGTAAGACATTCAATAAACAATCCAGGTCGAATTCTGGTTGGATGGATCTTGTTCTGGGAAACGAATTCGACGTCAGCGAGGATGATCTTTGGGAATTTCCCCTAGGTTCATCTGAAAGGGGACGAAGGAACCCCTGGAAGCCAGTGGAAGGGACCTGAATGGTGGAAGAGTGGAGTGGGAACCAGCATATCCGCCGCGGGGATTTTGTGGGCGAGCCGCAGTTTCAAAGTCCTCAGAGGCTGACCTGACGTTCGTGCTTCGTTCGTGCTTCCTGAGTAGTTCACCAACCAAAGTAAATTTACGTGTAGGTAATCTATTTAACCTTTCGTCCTCATCTCGTCTGTTTAATGATATCAACGATTAAAGTTCTGGTAAGCGAGGATTTACGTGTATCCATACCCTTTCCGATAAAGTTGATTGAGTACGGAATTGTAAGTAATGATTTGCATCTGGTTGATAGGTCAGTTGTACCTGAGTACCCCTATATCTGTATGCATAAGAGATAAGAGATGCAAGTGTGTTGGAATAAGTTGGATTTTCCGGTGCGGGTGTATGCGAGGCAAGCCGCAAGCGTCTGTGGCGACCATGTTGTGTGCTGATAGCGGTATTAGCGGTGGCCGTGACGGGTTGTTGGTGTTCTGTTTTCACATGAAGCATCCATTCTACCCAATCATGGCGCCATCTCCTCGAAATTCGGTTAGACGGGTGACTTCCGAACCTGGCCATTTTCCGAATAGCGTGGGATTATGGCATCAGCAACGGGTTTGGGGGTCCATTGAATGGACACCTCTTGCATGAAAAAGAAAAAAAAATTGGTTCCTCGTCCCATGAATGTGAGGGGAGAGCGAAGCGATTTCTGGGAGGACTTTGCGGCGGGGCCGAGGTTAGAGTAGGACTGGGTTCTGTTCCACGATGAAGTTGAGCATGATGGGACAAGGAGTAGTCGTTATCAGATTTATATGGATAAGTCAAAGTTTGATGAAGAATCTGGTTTTCACGATGTTGTCGAAAGGTTTCTGTTGTGTTTCTGTTGCTGTTCCTGTTGTGCGGGCTGCATGCAGTGTTGAAGTTTGAATTTTGACTTTGGCGATGGAGGGGAAGTAAGTTAATGGCGAAGCTTCAGACGCAGATAGCACGGTAGCACCAGGTACAGGCCAGTCAGTAGTAGTGCATGTGTGGCGTTCAAGACCGGCCATACTTAGTACCTTTTCTTCCCACGGCCACGGCTAATTGGATGCGGGAGTTGTAGTCTTTTAAGTTGCTTGTCCTGGGATGGCAACGTTATCGGTTAGACGAGAAGAAAAAATATCCGAAATCCTGAACCTGGACCTCAGCCAAAAAGTCTAAAGTAACGTATGCACTTTTTTAACTGCACTGCAGGAGTATAGAAGTACTATACTTTGTAGTATACACTGGATACTTTACAGCCTCCACGAGAACCTACTTGTAGTACTTCTGGAAGTATTCCGCACTTGGTACAGACTGTATGTAGGAAGTAACTTCACGGTCTCTTGTGAGTCCACTACGAGTAGAGTACTCGAGTAGGGGCCTGTCTCATGCAATGCATACGCCTGCACGGGTACGGAGCAGTACGGATAACACACGGGCTAGATCATCCCTCAGGACTGACTGTCATGGCCATGGCCGTAGCCGTAGCCGTGTTGGTCTGGCTTCCATTGAGTGCGGGCCTTTGATTGGCCCATCCTCATCTCCAAGCGCATCCACCGCAGCAGCACTGGTCGTCTCGGCGGGTCCTGTTATTCATATTACGAAGTCAAGTACGAAGTCAAGTACGAAGGACTTCTAGTAATACGGAGTACTTGGTACGAAAACACCATCCGGCGGACTCGAAGCCGCCAGTCTACTGTAAGTGCTCATCTGTCTGGCAAGGTGTGAAGTCTTCTGCGTCCGTCTAAGTTCACACCATCTGCACTGCTGCACTGCTCTACGCGGACCCCCGTCATCTCAAGTGCCTCCAAGTGTCTCCAAGTGCCTCTCCCGGTTCGGGTGCGGTTAGTGCAGTAGCGCATCCCGAAGTGGTTCATGAAGACCTCCTTCCCCACCACCGGGCCCACCGACCTTCATGCCCTGTCATGCATCCCGAACTCATCCCATGCCTCTGCGCCCTCTCACAGGTCCAACTGGCAACCAGTTCAACCCACCAATTCCCCTACTAAAGTAATCCCGCCACGGATGGGAGTTTGGTACCGGCACAGGGGACCAGCACCAGGTTGTGAGCTTTCTGGTTCCTGATTCCACAGCCGTAAGTACGGGCGGGGACAGGACGGGGATAGAACAGGGACCAGCCAGGGACCAGCCAGGGACCATCCAGGGACCAGGATCGTCGAGGTCGAGCGATGGGCCTACCATTTGGTAGGCAAATGCAGCTCTTCATCCGCTTCGTCTACATCCACGTCCATGTCCATGCTGGCGCTGCCGTCTGCTCACTCTGCTAAGCATGCCATGTTGAAAATCCCCAGTCCGTGTGTCGCTGTGAGTCCGTCCTGATCTTCATGCTTCATTTGACTTCGCCCGTTGCCGTTGCTTTTGCGTGTGCTTGCTCTGTCTTCTATCTTTATCTCTGAAATACGATCTGTCAATTGCCTCTCCCGCCTACAACGGCTACGGCTATACCCTTCAGGACCCCTCCTGTTGGTGCCTTTTCATGCTGCCTGCCCAATTTCAGTAGAGAGACTTTGTACGGACTTCTCCAGAAAAAAAGAGGAAAAAGGAGTCTCGACACGCAGCTGGATCCCTCGAAGTTTGAGCGTATCGTGGGGGACCTGGAGCGAATTGTTGGTACCGTATGCTCATAGAAATCCCATAGATGCTTCCCATAGACCAATTGGTCTCAGACCGAGTCAGGTTTCACGGAAGTTTCTTGAGACCCAACAGCTAATTCGTCTCCTCTGCCGCAGGAAGCCTGGAATCATCACCAAATCTCCATTTCTCCAGGAAAGGTCTGCATCAACGTCTCACCCACCTGCCGCCTCCCCTTCTGCGATCACGACTCCTCCATTGTCTTTTGAGAACCCGAATTAGAGGAGAACAAGAATGGGAAGATAATCGGCATCGAAATCTGCTAGCGGTTGACTGTTTCGGTCTCCAAGGATGCGCGAATAGTAGTCCAAGTATTGAAACAACCCTTGCGCGAAAGATTTATATCTCATGGCATTATATGCATTGGTATTTTACAAGGCAAGTTCCCCTCATGGTCATGAGTTCTTGCTGCTTTGCACAAGTCCAATTGGCAATAGCAACTGACCATGTCTTCACCAGTTCTCTTAGATGCTCGGCCCGTAACTCAGTTGGTGAGCCGGTGTAATCAAAGATAATCAAAGATAATCAAAAATCTATTTTTGAGCTTGTCAAGGTAAATTACAGTTTGGCTCCAATTCACTCCGCTTTGTACCGCCTGGGGATCCTTGAAATCCATGAACCTTAGAAACTGACATATGCCTGAGCGTCCTAGGGATTTTTCCAAACGAAGTACATCATACCATATTTCATCCCATTCAAACCCCCCACTCAGGAGTAACCAGGCGGACAGTAAACAGGCCCGAGTTACATACGACCCAGGATATCGGTGCCATCTCAAATCGTTCTCGGCTTGCAAAAACGAGGCTCCATTTTGCAACCCCAGTGCTGATGCCACAGCCGTAGTGCGAATTGATATATGTGCACGAATTCTGTTAATTGAAGACTTTAGGTCTCTCCTGACGGAGAATCGTTCAATCTTCCATTATGACAGCTTGGGAGACAGAAGACGAGTATGCTGCGGCGGCGACAGCTTCTCTTCCCCCTCCTGCAGATATCCCACATAGGACCCCCTCGCGAGCTTCCCGAAGCTCCAAGAAATCTTCACGTCAAAAGTCAATCTCTCCTGCGCCCTCATCATCTCCTCTACTCTCAGCACGACGAGACACGAAAGATATAGCACAGGATGAGAGGTAACGCAGCAAAGTCTCTGAGCTTGAGAATCCTTGCGCTAACTCAATTGTTAGCATCTCAATACTAGATCCTCGACGCTTTACCCCAACTCTTCACGCGAATTTAGTCTCGGAGATTCTGGCTCTCCGCCGAGACCAAGAAGAAAAATTGAAGACCATCGAGAATTTAGAGGATATTCTGCATACTACCCAAGAGGAAAATGAACAATATCAAGAGGCTGCCGCCATTGCCTCGAAGGAAATCCGGGGACTGAAGCGCCAAGTGGCCGTACTTGAAGATGGAGGATTATACAACGCTTCCGAGCTGGCGAAAGAACGAGATGAAGCTGTCGACTCCAACGCGGAGTTCAAGAAGCGACTGGACGTTGCGCAGAAGAAAATTCGCAGCCAAGAAGACGACTCGGTTCGGGTGCACGATTTATGGGCCCAGGATAAAGACAATTGGGAGGAGGAGAAAAGGAAGCTTGAGCGCAAAGCACATGTGGCCGAAGGCCGACTGAAAACTGTATTGGAAGAGGTAGCTGCATATCAGGCTGCCCGTCAACAACAACAACAACAACAACAACAACCGGACAGCGACGTTGAAAAAGATTCCGACCACAATGATGCAGCCAGTGTTCGTACTATGAGTATGACCAACAGCGTTCGATATTCTATACTCAGTGGGCCTAACGGTTATGGTGGAGTCCAAATCAATGGCAACGGTATGAGTTTGGCGGATGAGTTGAACTTTGACGATGACGATGATGATACTCAGACAGAGTATGATGGAGGACGAGAGAGCGTTCTACAAATGCGGCACCAGCGAACGCAGAGCCGTGAGAGTACCTTCTCAAGGGCACATCGACGAAATCAGAGCCATGAAAGTATGATGAGATCAGGAAGCATTATGCGAAGAAGACTCTTGGCAAAACAATTGGAGCATGGCATTCTGGAGAGCGACGAAACAGTATCAGCACCCGTACCCAAAGTTGAATATACAGACACCGGCGTTCAGTTTTCACCTCCTCCATCGCCACAACAACCAGTAGCCGAAGCTCCACCTATCGCAGAGGACCTACCCGCATTGGAGACAAATGGGGCTCCATCAAGGCCAAATTCCGTCCAGAGGATGTCAAGACAATGGGAGAATGAAACGCAGCCACGAGAATGGGAGGTTGAAGCGAATCAACGCAGAAAACGTGTAAACCCGTACCCCTCTTTAACAATAGATCCTCCTTCAGTCGGGTCAATGGTTTCTGCAGCTTCACAGACAGTCGAGGATCCCCTCAGTCCCCCTAGAACCCCTGTTTCACCTACCCGAGCATTCCCAGCACCACCGATGCAGACCCAGGTAGTGCAAGCACGGGAAACGGCGTCGACATCAACGCAGACCAATGTAGAAGACCGAGAGGCTCTTGGTGATGTTCCTCCTACTTCACCTAGACAAGCACCACCTCCCCCACCAATCTTGGTCCCATCAATCCAATTACATCCTCCAAACGACTCCTCGCCCCCAAGTCCACGTGAACCTGTCCTTCCCCAGTATTTCAAAGATGCAGCCTGCCAGGTCACAATGCAGGCACCCATCCCATCGAGGTCGGTTTCGGTGCAAACGGAGGAGATTAGAGTCGACCAGCGAATCAAGCTCTTACCTCCACATCTCCAACCTTTGTCCATATCTTCCACGCCTCCTTCTCCAGAACCTACCGAAGAAAACCAGCGATTCTCGCCCGTTCCAGGAAACCTCCCTCCTCGAAATCCACGCCGGGTGATGACCCCTCGGGTGAGTCTAGAACAAGACATACCATCCTCGCCTCCCTCGTTTTCAGACATTGAAACCCGAGACACCTATCCTGGTAACAACGACGATGGCCCCTTAGCCAAGGGCAAGGGCTCGGTACGACGCCCTCCCCGTATCAGCAGCTTATTTGCGGGGTTCGAAAACGTCAGTTCGGACGATGCCGATGATTTCGAAGATGGCGATATGAGTGACAGCGACTACCGAACCGCTCTCTCGGCTCCAAGACCAAGCAGAGGAAGCAAGCGCCACACAATGTCACCGACTTCAGTTCCCGAGGACTCGGAGCTTACGGAGGTAACTACGAAAATGATGCCAGGTCCAGGAAGGAGCGCCTTGAAATTGGCCGGCCTGTTCGGGCATGAAAATGAGACTCAGGGAGAGTATGGATCAGTAAAATTCATGGCAGCAACGCAAAGAAACCCGTCGAGGCCTGTTCGTCAGCTCGACAAACCATTGACGCTTGTATCTTCCACGAAGCCCAATCCAATGCGACGTGCTGCTCTCATTTCCAGCGGGGTGGCAGCTCATCGGGGTCGTTCAGAAAGCCCGCTGCCAGATGCAGTCGGAGAACCGCCATTCCCCATACCTTTGAGGGCGAGTTCTAGAAGACCCCCTCCATTTAGTGCCAACAGTACCCCTGGTGACAGAAGCCCTACCTGGGGACGTGGATCTGGAGTACCTTATAGAACCAATAGCGTTCGTAAAGTCCGCTCCGCTGCAGCACTTCCTCGAGGGAACCGGGCATATCGACGCCAAGATAGCCATTCTCCTCCGCCCATGTCACCATCTACGGAAGGACCCGAGAGCCCTCGACTACCTCCCATGCCGGAGAATGAGCTTACATCTCCTGCTTGTATGAGAGACACGGGTAGTGGCCGATACAGGCCACGGCACAGACAGCAACTTTCGGTAACCACTGCATATACTGCCAATACTGCATATACTGCCAGTACTAGCAATACCGGTCCTGCATCTGTTGCCAACTCAAATCAAGCCACAACGGTTGTTGACGCAATTGCGCAGACAATGGTGGGAGAATGGATGTTCAAATATGTTAGAAGGCGCAAGTCATTTGGTGTTGCCGATGCTGGCGGGATGGACGGAGATGGTGTCAATGGCGTCCGACATAAGAGATGGGTTTGGCTTGCCCCTTATGAGAGAGCGGTGATGTGGAGCAGCAAGCAACCGACATCCGGATCAGCTTTGATGGGCAAGACCGGCCGGAAGCGTAAGTTGGCTCAATTTTTTGCAGGAAATCTTTGGGCAAAACTAATGCCTGTATAGTGACGATTCAATCGGTTCTAGATGTCAAGGATGACAACCCACCACCCAAGGGAACTCCAGCAATCTTCGATCGGTCTATCCTAATCTTAACTCCTGCTCGTGCTCTGAAATTCACAGCAACTTCAGCTGAGCGACACTATATTTGGTTGACAGCCCTCTCCTTTCTCGCTCACTCGACGCAAGCAGTCCCGGAAATAGTTGCCCCTGTGAATCCTTCACGACAACCTGCCCTTCCTGATTTTGAACCACCGCGTGTAAACAACCATCGTATTCGAAGGAATCCTATTCGAGACTCGATCCGGGTCGCCAAAGGCAAAGGCAAAACCTCCAGCGTACGATCTGGACCTACTAGTGTGCACTCTGCACAGAGTGCTGAACAAAGTATTCGCGAAGAAGCATCATTCTACACTTCTCGTAGCGATGGTGGGCTACCACCAGCAGACCCACCCATCGTCCCTCGCTTCCCAGAACGCGGAGACCGCAGCTTTGGCGGACCTCCTCTTACCCACACGCGAAAGCGCAGTAATACTGGATCCCGATTTGGTCCTCCATCTTCCTACCGTGGTTTCTCGGCCCCTCAATCCGGTTACGCTCCACCTCCAAGTACGGCTGGAATGAGTGTAGGCACCTCAGGTTCTTCAGACATCTACAACTCGAAGGCTCCAAGTTCCGTGTCTGGATATACCGCCGTCAGTGGACTTTCCTCTGTTCGCTCCTCGGAAGCGTCGAATCGACCTGGTGCAGTCGTCAACAACTTCTTCGACGCGGTGGGCACCGTGCGGATGGAAGCCTTCATCAGTCCTATGGCTCACACCCAATTCGACGATGACCCCGACGAAAAGGATGAGATGGACATGGTGCTGCAGCATCGAAAGCACAGCCGAGAGCGACGTCGACGCTCTCGCAACCGCGATAGTTTCTACTCTGCACGAGGGAGGACGAGCGATGATCTGTATGGGGGAAGCAGAACGGCAGGCGAAGAGGATTACGGGCATTTTGATACTAATAACTTTTCACTGGACCCGTTCCGGGGCTTCTGATCGGGGGCTATGTGTAGGATCTTTGTAATATTTTGAGGATTTCGATTTTTGGGATCTTGAGTTGGAAAGGGTGATGAGATGTATGGTGTTTTGGCGTTCTATGACAGTGGGGCTCACGCCTGAAGAAACTTTTCCTGCTGTTCGTCTTGGGGTTTGTCTTGTTTGGATTTCGTTTGGATTCCGTCGTTGGAAATGGGATGTGGGAGCGGATGGATATCCAGGATAGGATGGATTGGAGCAGCTCTCGTGTTTGGAGATATGAAGGCTCGATTTTTTTTTCTCTTGAGGACACTTGCTTCGCTTAGCTCCGTTCAGCTCAGATTCGTTGTAAACTTTTTTTTGTATATACATGCACATAGAAATATAGTCGCTCCCTTTTTTTTTTTTGAAAAACTTTCTGTCTTTGCTTTCCCCCCTCCACCTTCTTTTTTTTCTTCTTTTTTAACAACAATTGTTCGTTTCCTCTTTTCGCCTCTCTATCTCTATCTCCTCCATGGTACGCGTCCTTTAGCGAGATACCTTCATCTTCTCCAAAACCCCTAACTCAACCGTGTCTCTTTTATACTCTATAGAGCGTTCAAAGGAATTAACGGCTCCGCGCTCTGAATCTCACATGGCACTATATCAATATCAATAAGACCTTCCTAATAATAAGTTTCTTTAAAATTTCTCTTGGCTTTTGTAGAGGTATATATGTGGAATACCGGTGGGTACTGAAAAGAATGTTTTCATGGGGTTTATAAGAATTTAAGGACTTTATATGTTTTTGATTGATTGGGATAAGTAAGATGTTTTCGTTGTGCCTAGGGAGTGTGAATAAATAGAGGAAGGAACTCACTTACAAATCTGACCTAGGGAAGAGAGGACGAGAGAGAAGAGAAGAGAAAAGAGAAAAATATATAGGTAGATAGATAAGACGACTTGGTTTCTACTTCGTAAAGTTCATCTATAATATTTAAAAAATTAAACTACCTACTCTACCTAGTCTACTTATTCTACTAAGTAACAACCTAAACACAAACTCATAATTTATATAATATCAAGTTACCAAGTACCTACCTCGCACACGACTTCGCTTAATAACATCGCTAAACATCATCAAAGCAAAAAGAGAAAAAGAAACTATAAATAAACCAAACCAACAAAATAAAACGAATAAAAGTACACGCAACTTGACTTACCTTAACTTAGCTCAACTTGACTTAACTTATTCCAACTTAACCCATCCAAACAACCCATCCAACTAACCTAATCAGCTAACCTAGTTATTATCATCAAGACACACACAAATAAAATAGCCATTTATAAAAAAGCCATAGGTCCCTACCTATTGAGAACTACTAAATACGGTAAAACTTAGAAGTACAGTACACCAGCAAAACATAAACGAAAACAAAATCTATCCCTCCAAATCTAGTCGTACACCATCCATCGAGTTTCCGGAGAAAGCTTTGGATAGTATGAATAGTATGAATATAGATTCATGTACAATCACTTTTAATCACCTTCAAAAAACTAAAAAAACTAAACCAATAAACCAATAAATAACTTCATTCCTCTCCATATAAACCTCCGATTCTCGCAGCTCTTCCATAACAAGTCGTTCAATTTCCAAGTTGTAGTCGGAGAGAATGGTATAACTATTCATAGATAGCTATTACATCCATCCAGACCTTCAATCCAGCCCAGCCAGCGTCACCGAGTCCCCTATCCCAGGTCGTAGAGTAGCCTAGCCTAGTCTACTTCTCAATCACTCTCCTTCAAAAGAAGAAGATAATATCCACAAAAAAACACCAAAAAAAAACACATGCAAAACTTTTAATTACCTCCCAAAATATACCCCCACCAACGCCATCAAATCCCCCTCATCCTAAACCAACACACCCTTCCTAACAACAAATCCCTCAATCGCCGCAATCGCCGCCCAAAGCCGATTCTCCGCCTCCGGAAACACCAAACTCCTCCCCCCATAAAACACCTCATCATCCACCTCCTCCGCATGTCTCGGCAAACAATGCATAAACTTCCACCCCTTCTTCGCACCCCCCTTTTTTGCAAGCGCCTCCGTAATCTGGTAGCCAGCAAAGGCCTTCAGTCGTCTGGCAGATTCCTCTTCTTGTCCCATCGAGATCCAGGTGTCGGTGACGAGGATATCGGCGTTCTTGATGGCTTCCTCCGGGACGGTGGTTTCGGTGAGGAGGGAGCGGGAGGTGGGTGCGGAGGCGTGGATGAGGTCTCGCATGCGGGAGGGCATGGAGTAGCCTTCTGGTGTAGCGACTGCGATTTCGACGCCGAGCTTTTGACATGCGATTGCGAGGTCGAAGAGGACGTTGTTTGCGTCTCCTACCCAGGCAACCTTTAGCCCCTCAACACCGAGTCCCTTCCCGGATTTGTTCCCGAGCACTTCGTGGATGGTGAGGAAATCGGCAATCGTTTGGAGAGGGTGGAAATCGTTGGATAGTGCGTTGATAACTGGTACACTGCTATGTTCCGCCAGACCTGCGACTTCATGATGTCCTCCTACTCGTGCTACCATCGCGGAAACCATCGATGAGATAACCACCGAGGTATCATAAAGTGACTCATTAACACCCAATTGGATATCCCCGGAACCCAAGAACATAGGATGACCACCCATGGTCGTGATCGCTGCTTCGGTCGAGACTCGCGTGCGGGTGCTTCGCTTGCTAAACATCATCGCGATGGTCTTGCCATTGAGTGTATCCTTCAAACCAGCTGGTGTGGTTCCCGCCTTGATGGCGGTTTTATGGGAGGAGGCATTGCGAACGAGAGAGGTGAATTCGGTGGGAGTGAGATCTGCGACGCTGAGGAGATGGCGAGGTTTGGCAGTGGGAGTGGGAGTGGAATAGGTTCGTTTTTGGAGCTGTTGGAGAGCTCGAAGTGCGGGGCGGAGGGTGGTTGAGGGTCGCATGGTGGAAGGCTGTGGGACGAATTGTACGGTACAACGATCAGTCTGAGATCAGAGAATTGAATTGATTCTTTGGAAGTCTGAAATTGACTGGAACTGAAGAGACTTTAAAAGAAAAACATGTACGAGTACTCACCAGGAGATTGATGTGCTAGAAAATCATGGAATTTTTGTTGCAGATGAGTCCTAAAAAATGCTACAAGGCTGCATAGGTAATACCTTGTAGGGGTCGACAAGCTCCAGGGCAGGGCAGCTCTCAAGGAAGTGGCGTCTTTTCTCCACATTTAGTTCCAATTAGTCTAACCAATAGAAAAGCATCATTTCAAAGACATTTTTCACACCACACAACACAACTAAGTTCCAAGGGTAGCCCTATTACTACTCGAGTACTCGTAGTCTCAAATCAATGACATCTCCAACTCCAAGGAACCCCTCGATATCACACAAGAAACTCGAGAACTCCCCATAGAAATTCGAATTCTACTCGGGGGAAAAAAAGTCGTGATCTTTACTTACTAAACGTGTGCCTGGTAGATCAGTACAAGTACAGCCCATACAAGCCTTGCCACGTTCCGTACCCAGGAACATCCTGGGGGTACACAAACTTCGTCGTCACTTCTCATATTTGACATTTCTTCAGGTCACTGGGTATCGTAAAGGTTGCATATAAATAGAGGCTCGTCAGTTTGTAACAATCACTCACAATCATCAGATAAAGACTCATTCGTTCGGAATATAAAATTGATCAAAAGAAAGAGAAAGCTATGGAAAAAGAAAAGAGTCGATCATGGAAGCCTTTCAACCACTCACAACGAGTTGGCGAATTCTATTAGGAGAGAGTCGAGGAAACTACGCTTAAATTCTGCAATAGAGACCCCCTAATAAAAAGATGCAGTATGCCGGGTGAGACTATGTTCGCTGCAATAAAAGAGTGTACGCCAGACATTATTTGCCTCCCGGCCCAATGCAGGATAAAGTAGAAGAATGCAGAGTCCCCCAAACTCCCAATCATGCCGAAGCAAAGGAAACAATGTGTGCGAGTTGTTCGTAAAAAAAAATCGTCGTAATCGTGACTGATACGGCCAATGACTGGTATCTCAAAATCAAGACGCCGTGTAGCTACCACCTCTATACCGCTCAAAATGACAAGCTCCTCTCCCAGTGTGTAGGTGCGTTCCCTTATTGACTGTGTCATATTCCCCGTGCCTATAAATGCTATTCCTCAACCATATCTACCATCCTGCACCTACTGGCAAGTTTGTGCCATAGCTGCCGGATAGTAATTGATTGCGGATAGATTCCCGATCGTTAGACACCGTATTGTTGGTATTCATGTTTCCCCCCATCCATCCTAGGTTAGAGCCAAGTGCGTTGACAGCGACTTGCATACGTCCTCCACTTTGGTGATTGTGTTTTGCGAGTGTCTGATCCCATCCACCGGAATGTAGTTGAAATCCACCACCTTTCTTTGAGGCCTCACTGATCACCATCTCCCAAGCTCTAGAAATTTCGTCATAGGCGTTATCCTTGTGGTGCTTGTGAGAGTTACTGTCCCAGTCAGGAAGCTCGTGGACCACCTTTGTGGCACTATCGAGAAAGTTGAGGGATACGGTGGTCTGACTCTCGTTAGGAGGAAGGTAATGAGGCGTAAAATCGGTCAAGGCGTTGATCAGATCATTCAGAGGTTGCCTAACACGGTTGTATGCATAATCGGAACCAGTGTTGCCGCCGAAAGGAAATGCGTCTCGTAGCTTCTCCTGGTATTGTGCCAAAACTTCGAGGGTTGCCGCTACCGAGGGTCGAGGCGCTGACGAAACCACTTCCGCACCGATCTGAGGATGCCGTTCACATATGGTCTGAAGGACGGATCGTAAAGATTGAGCATCGAGCGTTTCGAGGAGTCGAGGAAGGGCGAGAGGACGGCCGGACACCTCGTTGGCTCGGATTTTCTTCGAGGGTCGAGAAATGCTGCGATGAGCGAAAGCGGGGGACGCTTGAGGGGAGATGGACATGCTATCATCGTAGCCATCGTCGTCGGCTTTTCGCTTTCGGGTAGCCATTCTTGGAGCGGCGTTCAAAGGGGAGCCTACGGCAAGAGCAAAGAATGTTAGTTTTGGGCGGTGGAGTGGGAATTATTGTGGGAGGGGCTTACTAGGGTGATGTGCGTCGTAGTGCGAAGGGAACTCTGAAAAGGCATGCGTTGGCTGAAGCAGCACATTCATTTTCCTGAAAGCGTGCGAGGCAATCCACGAGGCGGTGGTAGAGGATGATGGCAGTGTGTGTGTTGGTGGTTGGTGGTTGGTAGTTGTAGCAGGGCAGAAGGGAGTGTGAATGGGAGCGTTGACGGGGTGGTGGTGACTCGGAAATGATGTTTAGGTAGGAGGTTATGATGCCCTCTGCCACTGCCACTGCCACTCACGCTGCAGCCCAAAGAAAATTAGGTAGTTTGGGCGACGCTAAAAAGAAGCGAGGGCGAGCTGGATGTGGACGGGAAGGGGACGCTGTTCGTGACCTGAGCAACGCAAAGCACAGCACTACCCCCATCTCCCAGCGAAGGCATAACTCGGCAAATGCAGGCTACTTGTACAAAATTGCCAAGGGTTTGGGACCTGTAGCAATGCTTCGTTTTCCGCTGCACTGGCAATCAACTCATCAACTCAAATTTATTGTCTATCTACGACCATAATATCGTGGTAATATCAGAACCGGAACCAACCCGAGTCAACCACCCAAATCAGCTGCACTGCGACCAAAGCCCCAACCCTGTTGTTCTGCCTCCAAACCGCTGCCAAGGCCCGCTAGTCGTTCCCACGTAATAGACGGTGAACTCCCTCTTTGGTGGACATTTTGAAAGGGAAAACGCCAGAACCATCTGAACAACACTACTCCGTACGTTGTGCCCCTTGGAATGACTATCATTCTGAGCATACACAATGACCATGAGAATTGCTCACAGTATGACGATAATATCAGCATTAGTACGAAGCAATCGATGAACCAGCACTTACATGCAAGTTGGAACAAGGCCTCCTGAACAGCTACAGTCCGAATCTTGCGTGCACCCCGTCTTATTCTGTGCCTCTGCTGCGCTGAAAAGGGCAAGAGCAGCAAGGGAAACTTGGATGACCGCGAGACGCATTGTAGTAAAAGTGAAGTTTTTGCGGTTACTTGGGTATTGTAGGTAGATAGATAGTTGTAGATTGTTTTTATCGAGTCTTTGACAACTGACCGACTGCTGCGGGGTTGAAGGTGTCTATATATACTGATGGCGACTGGAGAAAACAAGCATTACCTAGGTAGGAGTATGTTTGGTTTCTACCTGGATACCTAGACAGAGCTAAAACTTCAGACTAAACTTACCTGACTACTACTAGTTATATAGATTAAGGTGCAACTTCAAAAGAAAAGGACTTTAAAACCGAATCCTTCTACATTGGCATCAGAAGAGCTTCTATCAATCAATTTAATCTAGAAAACTTTCGTTTCTTCATTTTGATACCATCCAGTATTAACCTCGTCTACTTGAGTAGTAACGGTCTGTTTGGCTTGGAGTATAAATCCAGGGTCCACCGTACTAATAGAGTTCTACACTCTCTCACACATGCTGGCCCGTAGAGTCGTAACGAGTATAAGGAAGGTTTCTTTCCCACATTGAATACAAAACAAATACCACTCTGAAGTTAACAAACTAGCTCTATTCGGAATGTACCATACAAAATAGAAGTGACGCAAAATCTGCGTTTAGAACTCTGAATCTATGACTCGCTTATTCTACCCAATATACACTACCACTTTCCTCTAAAGGCCTTGTGCACGTAATAGGAGAGTAAAAGGAGTAGCTATTTTCGCTCCATCCAGTACATTCACGACCTTCTTATACTGTAGAAATGATCTTTTAAACCACTACAACACACACCCAGACCTTATTAGGAAGAAACAGATAGACGAAATATTACAAACCCAAACTATATTGAACTCAAACATTACATCGTCTATACCCGGCTTTCCCCTTCCTTACAGCCCTCGCTAAACCACATCCCACAAGCCAGTGTCAGTAGTCACCACAACTCAAGAGCTACTCAACAACCATAACCCTCATAATAGTAAAAAGCTACATACAACCTACCGTTACCACGTCCACCTGTATAGAACATTACATCCCATTCGCTCCACCAATCCCTCCTAACACAACCCACCATCAATCAACCAATCAACCAATCAAACCCCATCAAAAAGCCAATCCCCAAATCCCAACACAGTATTACAATCCCGACCGGAAAACCCCATCCATTCCACTGTTCCACACATTCAGATCGATTGTACTAGAATTCCTCAATCAATAAACTTCATTGTCCCAAATCACTTAATTATCAGAGTAATAAAGGTCCTGGTCCATTGATTTCAGTTGTTCTCATTTGCTCGTACAAGGAATATGGTTGTGTGAGGCTTTTGGGATAATTTTGTGTAGGCTGGTGTGTTTGAAGTAATGATGGTTTCTGTTACGAAATTTTGTTGTTTTGATAATAGGCTTTGACAGGATTGATGTCACTTCTATTGATGGAGTTAGGATGATATGTTAGGTTGTGTGAGAAATGAGTAAAAGAGTCGAGGAGAGAAGAGAAAAGTAAAGTAGCGTAGCAGCATCTACCTACTCTATTCAGATTTCAGCTCATCCGAGCAGCAAATGGTTCAACTCTACAACTCTTCTATTCGAGTATTACTAAATTCCTACTTATGATCGTATAACGGAGAATCTTATCTTGTAGTCAGTCACCTTCCCTTGGATAGAGAGAGTACGTCTACTCAGATAACGTAAGGTTCTTCTAGTATCTATAACTTCGCTAAAGGATCTTTGCCATTAAACAAAAAGACGAGAAGGTACTTCAAAGTCACTCTATGGGCTCTTTCAAGAAGCGTGTATGCGACTTGTTCCTCGTCGAGTTTAACCTGCTTCGCTCTTCCCATGAACCAAGAACTGCGTAAGCAACCCCTTCTCAGAGCCGAGAAGACCCAGAGAGAAAATAACAACGCAATATCAATCATCTACCCCTATCTGCCATAAAACACCACATCATACCCCTACTCAGCACATCACGAAGCAGGAAACAAACCCCGCAACGCCTCAATCCCCACATTCCCCCCACTAAACACAATTCCCAAGTCCCAACCCTCCTCTCCCCCCTCCCTTTCCACCATCCGTCGAAACCCCTCATCAAACAACGCAACCGCCAACCCCACCACAGCACTCGGCTCCACAACAACCTTCATCCTCTCCAACACCAGTCTGAGCGCTTTCTTAATCTCCTCCTCACCCACACTAAACATCTCCCTCACCAACTTCCTCTCATAGATGATGCTCCAAGGATACACACCCACCGGTGTCCGCAGCCCATCCGCAATCGTAAGAGACTTCACGGACTCAATCCGCTTCCCCTGTTCAATACCGCGCTTACAATCATCCGCCCCTCCAAACGAAGGCTCGACGCCAAAAACAAAGATCCCCGTCCCCTCACAACTAAGCGCCGTCCCCGAAAGCATTCCCCCACCCCCACACGGCGCAATAATAGCATCCAACCCTTTCTCCCTACCCTGCTCGCGAATCATCTCACTCGCTTGCTCCTGTAACTCGATGCCAAGGGTTCCCTGACCAAGAATAATGTCGGGATGATCATAAGGAGGGACGAGGGTAGCGCCCGTCTCCTTGATGACTTCTTCGACCTTGGCTTCTCGCTCGACGCTGGTGGAGCCGCTGAAGATGACTTTTGCGCCGTAGCCTTGGGTTGCGGCTATCTTTGAGGGCATGGAGATGGTGGGCATTACTATATGGGCTGGGATTCCCATGGTTTTTGCTGCTAGAGCTAGGGCTTGGGCGTGGTTTCCTGGGTTGAGTTAGTTGTTGTTTTCCTTTCTTCGTTTTTGTAGCTTTGGGCATTGCTCTGTGTGAGAGCTCTCCCCTTTCTCCTGATAATCAAGAAGAGAACCTGGATAATCCACACTAACCCTCTCACAAGTATTCAAGTAGCAACAAAGATCAACATCTCAACCATCCCATCTCTCAGGCAATACCTTCAGCCACCTAAGAGACTTCCCCCTCTTCAAATAACCACCACCCTAACCCTAACCCTAAAAATTCCCATCATACACCCTCAAGGAACCCACAACCCACCCACCCCAAACAGAAACAGAAAAATAGAGAAGATGAAGAGAAAAATGAGAAATAATCATACCACTACTATGCGTAACAACCCCCCTCACCCTCCCTCCATTCTCCTCCCACCCCTCCTCCTCCATCAACCTCCTAACAGCATGAAAAGCCCCCCGAACCTTAAACGCACCCACCTTCTGTAGATTCTCTATGTATTCATTCATTAGCACTCATATCACACCAACCCTCTCCCCCCATGCCCCTCCTTCCCCCCTCCCACAAACC